TTTTTCTTTTTGCTTATGTGGTGCTGAGGAATTGAACCCAGGGCCTCATGCATGCAAGGCAAGCGCTCTACCACTGAGCCACCTTCCCAGCCCTCTATGAAACTCTTATCTTCAATTAACTACCAAAACTGCTGAAAGTGGAGTTGTGCCTTACCTGGTAGAATGCTAACCTTGAGCAAAGAAGCTGAGGGACAGCATCCAGACTCTGAGTTCAAACACGAGCCCAGCATGTGTAAATGACCTGTGGTAGGAATGTCAGGTGGATGGAGGTAAATAAGTTTAGATCTGGGCTTGAGAAGAAGGACATGTCCCCTGAGTGAAGTAGAGGGCGACAAAACCCAACTAATGGAGCTGTGGAACTGTGTATAGCTCTCAGCTCCTAAATCCTGGTTAAATGAACCCCAGAGCTCTGTTCTTCCCTCTCTCTCCCCACTCAGAACCATTCTTCAGGGTGACAGCTGAGAATGAGAAGCGAGCCTTGGAAGGTGTGTCTTGCCTGAGTAAAGTCTACGTGGCCTTGTCAGAGACCTCCATTACCCTGCTCAAGGGCAGACGCATACTGGTGAGCCCCGGGGCCCACCTATCTACTATGACCACCAGGCCTGACTGTGTATGGCTCACTTCTGGCCAGTGCCACCAGGGACAGCTTTCAATTAACAATGATGGCAAGCTAAACATCTGTAGATCACACCTTTAAGCCTAGTATTCCAGCGGCTGAAATCTGAGGATCGCTGTTTGAAGCCAGCCTGGAAAGTCTGTGAGACTCTTCTCTCCAATAAACCACCAAAAACCTAGAAGTAGAGCTGTGGCTTAAGTGGTAGAGCACCAGCCTTGAGCACAAAAGCTCAGGAATAGTGTCCATGCCCTTGAGTTCAAGCCCAGGACTGGCAGACACTAAAAAAAGATGACAGAGCTCTGAAGGCCACACAGGTCACACCTTCCAGCCATGGGGGTGGGAGAGGAGTCTTAGGGTCCTCTGTGACCCTTCCCCTCCCAAGGTCAGTCTCTTGTCTCCTTCCTCTGCCAGGTTGGGAATGAGCATGTGGACCTCCCAGTAATGCTTTCTAATGACACCTACATGAGTCTGAGCGGTCGGTTCATCGTACTTCAGACGCCATTTGGTTTGACTGTGCGGTGGGACGGCGACCAGCAGCTGTTTGTGACAGTGACCAGGTGAAAAAGCATTGCCATTTCAAAACCTCCCAAAGGTAAACAGGGAGACAGGAGGAAATGGGGTAACAGCAGGGAGTGCACACCCAGCCTTGGGAAGATGCTAGAAAGACTGGTCCACAGTGCATGCCACAAGTTGGCCACTTGTAGGCCCCACAGCTGGCTGACCCCTTGCCTGTGGTCCCCGCTGACGGAGACCCCTTCTCCCCACTGTCCTGCCCCATAGTACCCATGCAGGCCACCTCTGTGGTTTATGTGGGAACTACGATGGAGAAAGCGGTAATGACTACCTGAAGCCCGATGGCGGCCAGGCCCAGGATGCGGAGGAGCTGGGCCACAGCTGGCAGGTGGCCCACAACGAAAGCAAGGAGTGAGTGAGGGACCCCCCTGCCCCGCAAACTGGGGACCAACTAGAGCCAGGCATGGTGGTGCACATCTGTAATCCCAGCACTCAGGAGGCTAAGACAGAAGGACCAAATGAGACCTGGGCAGGCAAGTCTATGATACTCTTATCTCCAATTAACCAGCAAAAACTCAGAAGCGGAGCTGTGGTTCAGGTTGTAGAGTTGTCAGCCTTGAGTAGAAAAAGCTAAGGAACAGCACTCAGGCCCTGAGTTCAAGAACCAGTACTGCTGCCTTAAAAAAAAAAAGGACTGACTCCACTTTCCCTTTTCCCTCTTCCTCTCTGGAGACTCCCAACTTTTCTTAGTCTTTCTAACTGCTCACCTGGAAGCAAAACATGGCCATTAGTGCTTGAGCTAGGTCTCTCCTAGGTGCGAGAAGAGAAACGAAACTGTCGCCGTTTGTGCCCCTGAGGTGCTCACCACCCTATCAGGACCGGCTTTCTGTGGCCAGCTCACCCTGCCCGATGGAATCTTTGAGTATGGAGGTGGAGAGGGCAAGGGCACAGGGGGTTGCTGGGTGCCCAGAGGTTTGGCCACTCCTACCTTCTAACCCCCCCCCACCCGCTCCCCAGGACATGCCTGAACCGTCTGAAGGCTACTTCCTTCTTTGACAACTGTGTGTCAGACATGTGTAGTTTCCAAGGAGTCCAAACCATGCTCTGCGCTCACATATCCACGTTGACGGCCATCTGCCAGAGCGCTGGCCTGCCCGTCCGGCCCTGGAGGGAATCCAGCTTCTGCCGTGAGTTGTGCCCACAGGCAGGGTGGAGCCTGGGTGCCCACAGACTTGGGGTGCAACCTGGTTGAACCTCACAGGTCCGCACCAGGACAGGGACACAGGCAGAGGCAAAAAGACCAATCACAGTCATTTTAAGGGCTGAACACCCAGCCCCGTAGCGGGACCCTTGCCCACCATGAAGTAGAGCATCATTCCTAGCATGGCAAGAAAAAAGAAAATCATAGTCCTGTGAAAACTGCAAAGGGGCAGGAGTGGCGATTCATACCTGTAATCCAAGCTACCTGGAAGGTGGAGATAGGAAAATCAAGGTTGGGGGCAAAAATATCAAATATATACATGTATATATCTATGTATATGTATATGCATGTATTTAATGGAGACATATATGCTTATATATTGTATATGTATATACATGTGTGTTAGATATGTGTATATATGTTACACACATATTTCTGAGTCCCTTATCTCAACGGATAAGCCAGGCATGATGGGACAGCTGTAATCTCATTTTCTCAGGAACCATAAGTAGGAGGATCCCTGGTCCAAGGCCAGCCTGGGGAAAAAAAAGCATAGAACGCTATCTGAAAAATAACTAAAGCAAGAAGGGCTGGGGACATGGCTCAAGTTGTAGAGCACCTGTCTAGCAAACACAAGGCTTTGAGTTCAATCCTCCCAGAGCCTAGAGTTGGGGGGTATCAGTAGAGAGGATGAACCAGGGGGGATCATGAGTTGGTTTGAGGCCAGCCTGAACTACATAGGGAAACCCAGAGACACTGGGAGGGAGAGGGAACACTCAGCTACCGTAGGAATTTTTGGGGGTTATGTGTGTGTCAGTTTGGGGATTTGAACTCAGGGTCTGGGCACTTTTTTTCACTCAAGACTGGTGACACTCTTCCATTTGAGCCACAGCACCACTTTGAGCTTTTTGGTGGTTAATTCGAGGTAAGAGTCTCATGGACTTTTCCTGCCTGGGCTGGCTTTGAACTATGATCCCTAAGTCTCAGCCTCCTGAGTAGCTGGGATGACAGGCATGCGCTCGCTCCTGCTTGCCTACCTCCCCCCCCACTTCCTGCTTCATCGTAGGTGTATGTGGGGTATATCCACAGTGGCATGGGTGAATCTCTTCTTGTGTGGCTCAGTCTGCTTCTGTGGAGACATCTGGGCAGTTTCTTGGCACAGGAAGCTGGCTTAGCTTCTAGAAGCTGCGCCCTGCAGGGCACTGGGGTCGGCTAGTCTTCTGTCCAGCTTCTCAAAGCTTCTCAAGACTAGCCAGAGTCTCACAAGACCTGGAGCCTCGTGGACAAAGGTGGTTCCCTTGTCTACCCTAATTCTTGTTTGTTGTTCATTCGTAGTTTTTGGTGGGACTAAGATTTGAACTCAAGGCCTCTTGCTTGCTAAGCAGTCCCACTCCTACTTGAGCCATTCCTCCAGTCCTCCCCTTGTCTCGGCTGTCTCCTTCTTACCCACACTTCTCCCTCTACAGCCCTGGCCTGCCCCCCCAATAGCAGGTACTCCCTGTGTGCCAAGCCATGCCCAGAGACCTGCCAGGCAAAGTTAACACAGAAGCCCTGCCCATACCCGTGTGTGGAGGCCTGCGAGTGCAACCCCGGCTTCATCCTCAGCGGCTCCCAATGCGTCCACCGGAACCAGTGCGGGTGCCTCACCCCGTCAGGGCGGTACTTGAAGGTGAGCAGTTGGGATGAGCCTTTTCGGCCCTCTCTGTCACCAGAATGGATGGACTCCCTTCTAGGTCCTTCCACAGAGCCCAGAGCAAGAGACAGGAGATAAGAGGCCTGGGAAAACCAGGGAATTTAGAGCTTCGATTAGGGAAAGTAGTTTGATTTCTCTCCCCTCCTTTCTCCGTCCTTCCTCACCTCTCCCCTGCCATCTGGCTTTCTGGTGGTTAGACTCCCATGGAATCCTACCCTGTCCCAGATTTGAACTTCAATCCTCCGCTTCCAGCTTTCTGAGTAGCTAGGATTACAGGCCTGAGACACCTGATCCCCAATCTGATGCCTCTTGCTGCCTTCTTTGTCTAGTCCTCACTTGAGGTTTGAGAATGGCCCTAGGGACAACAAAAGACTGAGACACACAGGTGGCCTTCCATTTCTGAAGCCTCCTTCCCATGCTGGGCCCTGAATACTTTATATTTGCTGGATCTAGGACCTTGTGCATTGTTAGGTTTTTAAAAAGAGGTTGCTGAGTAAGAACTGCACCAGCATGCACGTGGTATTCAGGTAAGGGGTAGGTTTATTCAGTAGACCTGCTGAGACCAGGCAAGGTTGGCACTCCACATGGCTGGGAAAGGCCTGGGAATGAGAAAGAGCTGGGAAAGAGAGGAAAGAGAGAGGAAAGAGCTAGAAAAGAGC